TGAACGTTAAACAAGTATGTGAGTGGACTTTTCATCAGATGGGTTTGGAAAGTGCATGAAAAGTGGGCATGTGGAAGTAAACCATGGCGAATTTGTCTCCTACGTTAGGAAGAGAAGCAGGCACCTCTGTGCTCCTCAAACAGGAAAGGACAGAGCCTTAGAGCTGAAAATAGAAATAAATTTGCTACAGTCAAGAAATATTCAACCTTCTCCAAAGTAGAGTTAGTGGAGGACTTAGGAATAGCAGAAGGGAGGTCTGAGGTGAGTTTGAGAAGCAGCTGAGCCGTGAAGCAGTGAGTTCAGTGACGGAGGCTTCCACACCCCAGGAAGGAAGGGCTTTAGTCTTGGCCTGTGGAAGCTGGCAGGTCATCATTAGGTAAATAATTCTACTGTCTCTGTAGGTGTGGCACACAGACCCCCACATGCTGAAAGTAGCTTTGCAGTGCTGCATTTATGTATTCAGTATGCAAATACATACTTAGTCCCAGTGTATGCCGGAACCTGTGCTAGACATGCTAGAGCAGTTCATCTCAGTCTGAAAACATAATCCTTTGTCATTGGCCCTTGCATTTAGGGAATAAGAGCATGACCATTAATAGTAGACCTTGGTGTTGGGAATCCTACTTTTAACTGTACAAGTGAGAGCATTCTGAAGCTGTCTAACATTTTATGCCCTCCTTCCTCTTTGCACTGCTGCTGGGGCCTTTCCTAGAGGAGAATGCGTCCGACCTCTGCTGTCTCATTTCCTCTCTGGTGCAACTGATGATGGACCCCCACTGCAGAACCAGAATTGGTTTCCAGAGCCTCATCCAAAAGGAGTGGGTCATGGGTGGCCACTGTTTCTTGGATCGCTGCAACCATCTCCGCCAGAATGACAAAGAAGAGGTAAGTTCCCTCACTGCAGACTGTTTCTGTCCTGGGGAGAACTATGCAGTCTCTTAATACCTGTCTTCAGATGTAGGGTTACTGCTTGCAAAGTGTAAGCCGAACAGGTTTGTTAAGAAAACTGGGATCATTACATTGTGTGATGACTTTGGATACTTTAAATGATAGTGAAACCTTTCTCAGAGGAAAGAGATATTAATAAGTATGTTCAGAGTTTTCTAAATTGTGTACATCAAAGTGTATACATATTTTATAGTGGGAATAATATTTGTTAATAAAACAAATATAAAGTAACTCAGTGAGGAAGACTTCTACCTTTTCTATTAAATTAGTCTTTGCAATGAATAGATATGCAAGGTGCAGGTTTTCTGCAGAAAATACAGGTTGAATATCCCTTATCTGAAAGTCGTGGGACCAGAAGTGTTTCAGATTTCAAATTGTTTTGGATTTTGGAATATTTCCACTCCATTACTGGTTGAGCATCCTTAATCCAAAAATTAGAGGCCAGGCATGGTGGTTTGCACCTGTAATCCTAGCAGTTTGGGAGAACAGGAGTTTGAAACCAGCCTAGGCAACATAGAGAGGCCCCGTCTCTACCAAAAAATAAAATAAACTGGCCATGGTGGTGCCTGACTACAGTCCTAGCTACTAGGGAGGGTGAGGTGAGAGGATTGCTTTAACCTGGGAGGTCAAGGCTGCAGTGAGCCATAATTGTGCTACTGCACTCCAGCCTGAGTGACAGTGAGACCTTGTCTCAAAATAAATGAAGTTCTTTTTTTTTTAAGTTTTGAATTTTGGAGCTAAATGATTTTAGATTTTGAGTCAATTTTTTTGTTTTGTTTTGTGTTATATGAGGCGGAGTCTTGTTCTGTTGCACAGGCTAAAGTGCAGTGGTGCAATCTCAGCTCACTGCAACCTCCACCTCTGCCTCCTGGGTTCAAGCTATTCTCCTGCCTCAGCCTCTGGAGTAATTGGCATTACAGGTGTGTGCCACCATGCCCAGCTAGTTTTTTGTATTTTTAGTAGAGATGGGGCTTCACCATGTTGCCCAGGCTGGTCTTGAACTCCTGATGTGACCCACCCACCTCAGCCTCCCAAAGGGCTGGGATTACAGGTGTGAGCCACCACACCCAGCCATTCAGTAAATTTTCCTTGCACATAATTTTTTTTAAATAAAGCACAGGGGGCAGGTGTGGTGGCTCATACCTGTAATCTCAGCACTTTGGAAGGTTGAGGCGGGTGGATCGTGAGGTCAGGAGATCGAGACCATCCTGACTAACATGGTGAAACCCCATCTCTACTAAAGTTACAAAAATTTAGCCAGGTGTGGGGGCACACACCTGTAGTCTCAGCTACTTGGGAGGCTGAGGCAGGAGAATTGCTTGAACCCAGGAGGCGGAGGTTGCAGTGAGCCAAGATCACACTACTGCACTCCAGCCTGGGTGACAGAGTGAGACTCTGTCTCAAAAAAAAAAAAAAAAAAAAGCAAGCACAGGGTTATGTTAATGCTATCCTGTTACCAGGGCCTTAGTGGTAGCCTGTGTGGGGCTATGCCCACAGCCTCTTCTGCTTCTGTCTGGATGAATCACTCCAGGCCTGGGCCTCCAAGTTCAGGCACAGGAGAGTTAGCATTTGAGGTCACTTGGTGAAAATGAGTCCCCCAGATTGTGGTATACATGTCTAGGTGACAGCGTACACATTCCCTTGGCTGCCTTCTTGATGATTGGTAGAAAGAAAATTGAAAACAGACAAACTTTCTTTAATCAAATCACCTGCCAAGCAGTGTGACTTTTGGTTTTCATATTCCAGGTAGTCAGCATGTCTCTCTGCGGTGCAGAACAGTTTGATGCAGAATGCTGTGGGCAGAGCCATGGCTCCTGATGTCATGGGCTTGGTGGGTTCCTGGGGTGATCCAGGTGTCTCTCACTGAGCTAGATGGTTTCTTTCAGGCCTGGCCTGGACTCCTCTGTGTCCCATTGAGCTGAATAGAAATCACATCTTTCAGTCCAAGAAGGGACTTTAAGGAACTGATTTGAAAGGTTGATGGCATTTACATAACATGGTAGGCCGAGAGCCGATACTGTGTGGAGAAGAGTGTTTTTTTGGTTTGGTTTGTTTTTTGAGCTGGCGTTTTACTCTTGTTGCCCAGGCTGGAGTGCAATGGTGCGATCTTGGCTCACTGCAACCTCCGTCTCCCGGGTTCAAGAGATTCTCCTGCCTCAGCCTCCCAAGTAGCTGGGATTTCAGGCATATGCCACCATGCCCAGCTAATTTTATATTTTTAATAGAGACAGGATTTCTCCATGTTGGTCAGGCTGGTCTCGAACTCCTGACCTCAGGTGATTCATCCTGCCTCGGCCTCCCAAAGTGCTGGGATTACAGGTGTGAGCCACGCCACCCGGCCTTGTTTTGTTTTTGAGACATGGTCTTGCTGTGTTGCTCAGGCTGGAATACAGTTGTGCAGTCATGGCTTGGCGCAGTTTCAACCCCCAGGGCTCAAGCAATCCTCCTGACTCAGCCTCCTGAGTAGCTGGGACTATAGGCTCGCACTACCATACCTAGCTAATTTTTGTGTTTTTTGTAGAGATGGATTTTGCCATGTTGCCCAGGTTGGTCTCAAACTTCTGGGCTCAGGAGATCATCCACCTGCCTCAGCCTCCCAAAATGCTGGAATTACAGGCATGAGCCACCATGCCTAGCCGTATGTTTTTGTATATCTTGAGAAAAGGGGGACTGGCAGGCACCATGTCTAATGGGGAAAGAGACTTAAGGTCTAAGAAGAGACCTGATCTACTGTTTACCCAGCTCTTGGAGAAGTCACTCATATTTTCTTAGCCTGTTGCCTTGCCTGTACAGTGCAGTTCAGATATTTTCTATTTAATGATACTGTGCATAAAATGAAGTGTGAAATAAAGTTGCTGTACAAATGTTTCTTTGCATCTCAACATGGACATATTGGAGTTTTGTAGGAAAGTTGGGTGGTGACATTTGTGATCTGATTGAAGCGGCTTTAAGAGCTGCATCCCTACTCTTCTCTCTCATGAGCCCTGTGTGAGATCCTGGGGCCAGGCTTCCTGCATCTCAGATCTTCCCCATTTCCTCTTCTGTAAGGGAGAGATTGTAACTTAGCTTGTCTTAGCCCCTGGCAGGATCACTGGTGAATCAGGGAGGATAAGTACTTTCTAAATGACAGAGCACACTAGAAACCACTCTCCCCACTCATCAAGAGCTCACCTCTGGGAGCTAATAAAGGAGGCTTGCGGATTTGTAAACATATATTTTGAAACTCACTTTCACTACTTCTGCCTTGTCTCCCATCCCCATGGGCCCTCACTGCAGGGGTGGAGAGGAGGCCTCTACTTCCAGTCGGTCTCCAGGATCAAATCCTGTTAGTCAGTGAGTGGCCAGGTAGAGAATGGAAGCTTCCCTCCTGCCCATTACTTTTTATTGATAAAATTCAAAGTAGCAATCATAATTAAGTATACTTTTTGGTAATGTAGTACTACTGATGAGAATAATGGAATTTTTTTTTTTTGGAGAAGGTAGAATGTTGCTTAATTGGGGTCCTAAGTTAGTGTTTTCCTTTATTAGAATCAGTTGCAGATGCTCACTGTAACACTGATCCATAATGAGATTTTTACATACTTCATCTTTGTAATGTCTGACACAGATAGGTACATGATTCCACAAGCATGTGATTTCAGTTTAGCATATTTCTCACTTGGGATGGAATGGAGTCTCCTGAGTTTCCCAGAGAACAAAGTCCTCAGAAGTGGTTATTCCATAGCTGTGGAGGTGGCTGCCCCTTGAACTCAGGACGGCTTGCTTTGGGCTCTGCCCACCAAGTAACGTATCTTGTTTTCATGCAGGTTCCTGTGTTCCTGCTTTTCCTAGATTGTGTCTGGCAGCTGGTGCACCAGCATCCCCCAGCATTTGAATTCACAGAGACTTATCTGACTGTTTTGTCAGATAGCCTATACATACCTATTTTTAGCACCTTCTTCTTCAATTCGCCTCATCAAAAAGATACTAACATGGTAAGAGTCCCTCTTAGGAACCTGTGTATTGAAGAGGCTCCCTCTCACAAGTATGCAGTAATACTGAAGCTGAAAATGGTGCTCCCTTGGCAGCACGTAAACTAAAAAAAGTTGGAATGATATAGAGAAGATTAGCATGGCCTCTGCACAGGATGACATGCAAACTCATGAGACGCTCCGCATTTTTAAAAAGATATTTAACACTATATACCAAGCATTGTTCTAAGAGCTTCTTAGGTATTAATATTTAATCCTCACAGCACCCTATGGCATATGCTTTTTATTATCCTGGAGGAAATTGAGGCTGAAAAATGATAAGTAATTCACCGGTGGTCACATGGTAAATAATTGGAATTGGAAGCAAGTGTTGAAGCTGGGGAATTAAGCAGAATTCAAAACTGTCCGTTTTAAAGACAATCAGACCAGATGTCCTCCCTTTCGTTTGCTTAATGCCTGGAATTCCTCTGTGAAGAGAATGGAGACCAGGCAGAGCAGGGCAACTGGGCTTTTCCTTTCATCTTATCCCCTTTGGTCCCTCCTGAGGCTGTGTCCCACAGGCACAGCTTTCCCAGCTAATCTCAGTGCTTCTGAGCAGCCTCCTGAGAACTGCAGGGTTTGCTTGAGCTGGGAGATTACCAAATCTCCCAGGGCAGTAGGAGCGACAGCCCTGCTTTCAGAGCCCAGCCTTGTGCCTTACCAGTTTTGTGACCTTGGGCAGTTCAGTTTTCTGAGGCTTGGTTTCCTCAGATGTAAAATTGGAAAAACACAGTTACCTTGCTAGGCTGTGGAAGCACCCGGCGCAGCAGCTGGCGTGTAGACTGCCTGAAAGTCAGTGTCCTTCTTCTTGCCCTCCTCCCCTACCAAAAGCATGTAGTGAATAACCACAGGTAGCCTCAGCCTTTAAAAATAAAGGGCCCGTGATTATTCATTCTCAGGGCAGGGTGGGAGCACACTTCCTTGTGCCTGTTTCCAGAAGTATGTGTTTGCCTTCCTCAGCCCTCCCGGGAAGCCGTCGTGACCTGTGCTTGCTTTGGCAGGGTAGAGAAGGCCAGGAGACACAAAGCAAGCCTTTGAATCTGCTCACCGTGTGGGATTGGTCTGTGCAGTTTGAACCCAAAGCCCAGACATTGCTCAAAAACCCTCTTTATGTGGAAAAGCCGAAACTGGACAAAGGCCAGCGGAAAGGAATGCGCTTCAAAGTAAGATGTCCACATGTCTAAACCCCCTTCATCTGCCCAGATCCCATGCATGTAATGATGAAAGGTACATATGGATGCTGTCTGCCAGCACGTCCTACCCCTCGAAGCAGTATGCAGGGTCGAGATTTGTGACGGTCAAATTGTCAAGGCCCATTAGAATCCTTTGCTTTCAGCAAATCACCTTTGCCGTGGTGCGACAGGGCCATTTGCCAAATGTCACTGAGGATGCTGCTACCCTAGTCATACTCCATGGACTCGTTCCTCTGGTCCCGCTTGTGTGTGTGTGAGTAAAAGGCACACTGATTGCATGGGTTTTACTTGGCTGATACCAGTTCATTTATCATAATCAATAGTAAGACTTTCCTAATGAGCTGTGCCTATAAACCACAGATTGCAAAACTCTCTGTCAAGGGCTACAAAGTCTGTCACAACTACCTCTCCACTGTTGTAGTACAAAAGAAGCCTTAGGCTGCTCTGCCTGTGGAATAGCCATTCTTTATTCCTTTACTTTAAAAAAAAAAAAAAAAAAAAAAAAAAAAGAGCCTTAGTTAGTAGGTGAACAAGTAGGCATAGCTGTGTTCCACTGTTCATGAGAACAGGTACCAGGCCAGATTTGGCCTGAGGGGTGGCCAGTTTGCTGACCTATGCTATGAATCACAAATGTCACAAACTCATTTTAGCTGATAATCCCAAAGTTCCCTAACTGATGAATTATTTAACTGACATTTCCTAGCTCTGTCTCCAGGCCCAGAATTTCTCCCCCACAGAGTCCGCAAAGGAGAGAGCAGTGATGGTAAGTCCAAGTTGATGTGTGTCACTGCTTTCTCCATGCCATCTTCATCCTGCCTGAGCTGGAGGTGCTCCAGAAAGCCTGGCCCTTTCTGGTGTCAGATTTGGTTCCATTCTAAACAGGACTGGGGGCCTGGGTGAGCCATAGTCAACAGAGGCAATGTTGGCTGGTGAGCCACTGAGAATGGCCACTGTTCCCTTTTAGGGACCATAGGCCCAGGGTGGAGTTTCCCCTTTCTAGTTGAGCATCTCCTGCCAGTTTCACCAGAATTCCCTGAGCCCCAGAGCAGCTTGGCCAGAAGTCGGTTTTTCTTCAGTGTGTTGTGCCCCCTGGTGGCTGCATGCACATTCTCATGAGCGCTGGATTAGGACCAGAAACTGCCCTGTGCCAGAGTGGCAGGGGACCTCAGAGACGGTGAGGACAACCCCTTGTTTTACGGGGGAGAGTCTTGGGCTCCCCCTTCCAAGAATGGATTTCATTTCCCTCCTTAACTTTTCTTTTTGTTGTTGTTGTTGAGACAAAGTCTCACTCTGTTGCCAGGCTAGAGTGCAGTGGCACAGTGCAACCTCCACTTTCAAGTTCAAGCTGTTCCCCTGCCTCAGCCTCCCGAGTAGCTGGGACTACAGGTGCGAGCCAACATGCCCAGCTAATTTTTTGTATTTTAGTAGAGACTGGGTTTCACCATGTTGGCCAGCATGGTCTTGATCTCCTGACCTGGTGATCCACCCGCCTCGGCCTTCCAGAGTGCTGGGATTACAGGCGTGAGCCACTGTGCCCGACCCTCAGACGCAGCTTTTCTAGTCGTCCCTTTTCCTTGGAGATAGGGAAAGCCAGCCTAAGCAACAAGAGTTGGCGGGTGGGAAAGCACTGAGCTGAAGGGGTGGAGAATTGCAGGTCGCACTAGCTAAATCACAGTTGGGACGGGGCAATAAGAAGCTTTGAAGCCTTCGGGTAAGAAGACCAGATATCAGGTGGGGTGACGTGTCGAATGGCCTAGTGGCCTGGGGAAGTTCTGCCGAGGAAGCAGGGGCTGAGCAGCATGTGGCACTGCCATGCGAATGCCACACGGGCGGGACCTGCTCCAGTGTGCAGCCTCAGTGTCAGCCGCGGGCTCGGGCCAGGCTTTGGCCTGTAGAGCTGCTCCCACGTCGGCTGGTCTTGAGTGCTCCCTTCGCTTGGGAGATAGCGAGAAGAGGGCTTCCAGGACCAAGGAGAGCTCAGTAGAGAGCCCAGGCTCTGGAGCCAGGCTGTTTGAACCACTTTCGGCACTGAGCAGAGTGCCTTCGGCAGATCGCTTCTCTCTGTGCCTTAGTTTCCTCATTTGAAAAATGGGGCAATAATAGTGACTGAGAATGAGGTGCTCAGTGAATGTGAGTACTAAGCACAGAACTGAGCAGGAGGAAGCACTGGGTGACGGTTCAGTTTAGTCTCTGCCCTGCCTGGCACAGCTTCACAGTGGAGAAAAGAGAGGCCACTGACTCCTGGCCTTCATCTCTTCTGTCCCTGGATGGAAAGTCAGAAATCCTGGTCACTTCCAAGTTGTGGTCTTATGGATGGTTTTGCTTTCTTTTTAATATTTTTATTGTTATTCCATATTTCATAATATGGAAATAATTTTCTTTACAATAAAGAATATCTTTTTACAAGGAAGAACTACTGATGGAAATATGTTAGAGAGTTTTAGAGTGGGCCCAAAAATTAAGTTACTTCAAATGAACAGTAGCAAAAGAGCTGGACAAACAGCTTCTCTCCTTGTTTTTTTACTTCTCTGAGCACTGGGGACCCTCATGACCTTCTGACCACATCCATCTTTCACAACCCTTTCTTTGTTTTTTTGAGACCGAGTTTCGCTTTTGTTGCCCAGGCTGGAATGCAATGGCGCAATCTTGGCTCACTGCAGCCTCTGCCTCCCAGGTTCAAGCAATTCTCCTGCCTCAGCCTCCGGAGTAGCTGAAATTACAGGCACACACCACCACACCCAGCTAATCTCTTATAATTTTAGTAGAGATGGCGTTTCGCCATTTTGGCCAGGCTGGTCTTGAACTCCTGGCCTCAGGTGATCTGCTCACCTCGGTCTCCCAAAGTGCTGGAATTACAGGTTGAGCCACTGCACACATCCTTACAACCCTTTCACAGTGCTCCCCCAAATATGATACTCTAGCCACAGAGGGAATTACCAAGGGGGTAAAAATGAAAAAGTGAAAATGTTCTCACATTTTCTACTCCATGCAGGTTGTCAGACAAGTCTGGTCAACTTAGCTGGTTCATCAGATTTCTTTGCTCTCACCTGCCTGTTTCCTTTGTCCAAAAGAATCTTTATGACTTAGGCTTAAACTCCCGCTGGATGCCTGATAAGCTGCTATTTCACCCATGCGATAGTATCTTCCGGTAGTCAGTACCTCCTCGCAGGTGTTCAGAGGACTGTAGTGGTTAATAGCCTTAAAGTTCTCAAAGAAGAAACCTTTTTCTCTTCAGAACATGAATAGGCCTCACTCACAAGTTCCCCTAAGTCATTGAACTATCGTAAGTTAAACAGCTTTTTCAGAAGTACTTTGTGTCCTGTGGTGCCCCTGTGACTGAGGAGGAGAACGCTGAAAGCTCCTTTCTCTGTGTCCCAGCATGCCTTTCTGCACAGCCACCATGTGCACCGGGACCTGGTTTCCCATTTGTTTCTGGTACAGGGTGCACCATGAGAATAAACAGGAACCCCCCACCTCTGGGTGTTACAGCATGTTAATGAGTGTGCATTCACATGGCAACGCTGATGTCTCTTGGAACTTGTTAAAGCAGGGTTATGCTCTTTTTTTGCTGGTAACAACTGTTAACTGCCCGTTATGTTAACCAGTGATTTTTATGTTTTGTCTCAAAGCATCAGCGACAACTTTCTTTGCCACTTACACAATCTAAGTCATCTCCCAAAAGAGGATTTTTCAGGGAAGAAACAGATCATTTAATTAAGAACCTTCTGGGCAAGAGAATTAGCAAACTTATTAATTCGTCTGATGAGCTCCAAGACAACTTTCGAGAGTTTTATGACAGCTGGCATAGCAAGCCTACTGACTACCATGGTTTGTTATTACCGCATATCGAGGGACCTGAAATCAAAGTCTGGGCCCAGCGCTACCTGCGCTGGATTCCGGAAGCCCAAATCCTAGGTGGTGGCCGAGTGGCCACTATGAGCAAACTCTTGGAAATGAT